GACAGGGGAGGGGCAGACTGAAGTGCTCTGGGTTAGAATACAAGGGGGTTGTGGGGAAAGGGACTTAACGGTAGGTGTTTACTACAGACCACCCAACCAGAGGGAAGAACTGGACTGGGAATTCTCAGGTCAGCTCATGGAGGCAGTTAAGTCAAGGGACATGGTCATCATGGGTGACCTAAACTACCTGGACATCTGCTGGGAGGAGCAGTCAGCCAGGTCTGACTGCTCACGTAGGTTCCTAGCTGAGATACAGGACCTCCACCTAACCCAGGAGGTGCACAGTCCCACCAGGGGAAATGCCTTGCTGGACCTGGACCTGGTCCTGGCCACAGGCAATGACCTGGTGAGGGGATTGCGGGTTCTCGACCACCTGGGCAATAGCGATCATCACCTACTGGAATTCACCATCCAGCACAGGGTGTCAAAGGCCTGCAGCAAGGCAGCATCCCTGGATTTCAGGAGGGCTGATTTCAATGAGTTAAGGAGATTAGTCGGCGAGGCACTGAGGTCCCGGAGTGGAGGGGAGTTGGGAGTCCAAGAAGAGTGATCGTTCCTTAAGGAGACGATCCTCTGAGCCCGAAGGGTGACAGTCCCAAAGCAAATCAAAGTGGGCAAGAGTGCTCAAAAGCCCCCATGGCTCACCAAAGGCATTCAGGAACATCTGAAAGCTAAAAAGGAGGCATACACCCAATGGAAGGGAGGGGCCATCACCAAGGAGGATTATACCTCCATTGTTTGAGACTGTAGTAGGGCTGTTAGGAAGGCTAAGGTGGAGACAGAAATGGTACTAGTGACCCGGATCAAAGATAACAAGAAGTCCTTTTATAAATACATAGGGAGTAAAAAGAAGTCACCGGGTAACGTGGGGCCCCTGCAGAACATGCTTGGAAATCTGTTGGTCACACCAGTCAATAAAGCTGACCTCTTTAACAAATTCTTTGCCTCCATTTTTCTGGGCAGGGACCGGGACATCCCCCTGCACCCATGAGATTCCGGATGGACCCAGGATAGGCACAGCCAGGCCCAGGGTCAGTGAGGACCTAGTTAGGGAACTTCTGGTGGGACTGGACATGTTCAAATCAGCAGGTCTAGATGTTCTCCACCCCAGGGTGCTGAAGGACTTGGCACTTGTGGTGCTCTGGCAAGGTGCCAGAGGACTGGAAAAGGGCCAATGTGGTCCCCATTTTCAAAAAAGGGAGGAAGGAGGACCTAGGAAACCATAGGCCCATTAGTCTTACCTCAGTCCTGGGGAAGCTCTTTGAGGAAATTATCCAAAAGCACATCTGCGAGGGACCAGCAAGGGAGATTAGGGGCAACCAACATGGGTTCATTAGAGGCAGGTCCTGTCAGACCAACCTGGTTGCCCCCGAGGGCCCACACTCTTTAACATCTTCATCAGCAACTTGGACAAGGGGGTGAAAAGCACCTTGTTCAAATTTGCGGATGACACTAAGATGTGGGGAGAAGTGGGCACGCTAGAAGAGAGGGACAGGCTGCAACTAGATCTGGACAGGATACAGGGGGGGAATAGGATGGGCTTCAATACTGACAAGTGCAAGGTATTGCACCTGGGGAGGAAGAACCAGCAGCATACCTACAGGCTGGGGAAATTCTCTCTCAACAGCACAGAGGCAGAAAAGGAGTCACTATTGTTTCCAAGATGAACATGGGCCGCCAGTGTGAGGACGTGGTCAGTAAGGCTAATTGCACCTTGTGATGCATCCACAGATGCATCACGAGCAGGTCCAGGGAGGTGATCCTCCCCCTCTATGCAACATTGGTCAGGCCACAGTTGGAGTACTGTGTCCAGTTCTGGGTGCCGCACTTCAGGAGGGATGTGGACAGCATTGAGAGGGTCCAGAGGAGGGCCACTCGCATGGTCAGGGGGCAGCAGGGCAGGCCCTATGAAGAAAGACTACAGAACCTGAAACTGTTCAGCCTCCACAAGAGAAGGCTGAGAGGGGATCTGGTAGCCGCCTATAAACTTACCGGGGGGGGAGCAGCAGAGAATGGGAGAGACCCTGTTCCCCCGAGCACTACCAGGAGTAACTAGGAATAACAGCCATAAATTGAGGGAGAGTAGGTTCAGGCTAGACATCAGGAAGCACTACTTCACAGTCAGGGTGGCTGGGATCTGGAACCAACTTCCGAGGGAAGTGGTGCTCACTCCTACCCCTGGGGGTCTTCAAAAGGAGGCTAGATAATCACCTAGCCAGGGTCGTTTGATGGACCTCTGCCAGGGCCACCTTAACTGCTGCCCTGGTGGAGTGAACCTTCAGCTGCCTGAAAGTGAGCTGGCTCACCCTCACTGCCCACCTTGAGTTTGCCGGGGACAACCTCCCCTGGGTCAGCATCATAGCCTGTGTGCTGCATAACATCTGTGAGCCTGTGAGGCCTGAGGGAACTCTTCCACAAGGCCTGGGTGAGGGAGGCATGGCAGATAGAGGGCACCGGGCAGCAGGAGCACCAACTGTGGTGGTAACGACAGCAGTGGGCCCACCACCACTGAGGCCCCGGGCAAGCCACACACCTGCCTCCAGAGGCCAGGGCACAGGGTGCAAGAGGTGCTGGCCAACCACCTCCTCCTGTACTCCCCACTATAGCCTGCTTGGACAGCTGCCCATGGACCCTCCCATCCCCCCCCAGTGCCAGCACCATACTGACTGTAGACACATCTCAGGGGTATGGGGGTCTAGGGGGCAAAGCCGGTGAACAGGTGGCCAGCACCCCAACCTCTGGCCATTCCCCCACAGATGCACATGCTACAGTGAGCCCAGCAGACAGGGGGCTTGCTTGGGGTTATGGTTGCTGGTGGTCCCCCAGTGCAGGCAGCTCCCCCTCTGCCAGCCAGTGTCCAGGACCAGCGGGGCTGGTGTGTGGTCCTGGCCCCGCTGCAGGCAGCTCTGTCTCCGCGCCCTCGTGGAGCTGGGGCAAGTGGCTGGCCTGGGCATAGGAGGGCATAGGAGGAGGGGAGCTTGGAGGCAGGGGCTTCTGGATGGTGGAGCACTGGACCTCCACCCAGGCCCATGGTGGGGCTGATGCTGGGCAGGGGGAAACTGCCAGGGGGGAGGCGGAACTGGGGTCAAGGGCCAGGCAGTAGGCAGCATGAAGGTGATCGCCAGAGCCAGGACAGTGTCCAGCACCTGGCAGTTTTCGTTTGTGGCCTGAATTGCCCTGTCCAGGACCACAGTATGCAGAGCCTCCACCTGCTTACACTTCAGGGCCAGGATCTGCACCCAGAACTACCAGTCTGCCCAGTCAGCCATGTCCTCTGCCTCCCACCTGTCCTGATGGACCACACTCTCTGCCCACCAGGCCCATGAATCCACCAGACAGTCCTCCAGCTGTTACCAGCTGGTTCAGGAGGATGGTGTGGTCCTGGGTCCACTTCCTGTAAAACTGGTGTATCCACAGGGCCCCAGCATCCCTGAGGCTGCATCCCAGCTGCCAACTTCAGCTTCTCCCCCCACATGCAGCTGCAGGGCCTGAAGAGTCATAAGAAGCACATAAGAATCTCGTGTAGATGCACCCACTTAGTATAAAAGGAGAGTCAACAACTGGATACTGAGGCAGGACAAAGAAACAATAAGACAGTATTGGGCATCATATAGTTATTGGTCTTGATACATTAGACTACCTGTTAAGTTTTTTGTAGGTATCATAAAAAAAAGAGAGTTTCAAGCAAAGTTTTGCAAGAGAGTAAAATCTTATTCTGATTTTATTTATGGAAAGTTACTCCCAAACATGAAGGTCAGCATGAGAGAAAAAATAAAAGTGCTTGTTTGAAAATTGAATAGTAGGGTGACTGAAACTGGCTGGCATCATGGGCTGATCAAAGGAAGGACCTGATGTTTCAATTGTTAATGAGGCGTGATCAAAATTCTCACTAATTCTAAACTGTTGCAAAGAAGCTACATATTAATCATTGTATTATTCCAACACCAGATAGAAACTCCAAGAGGCCTCGAGACCAGTCCACACACTCTTGTTCATCAAGAGTCTGCTTCACTGTAGAGGGGAAACAAGTCAGGCTATAGGCAATGTATTAGATTTTCATTGTCAGTTCTTACATTCCTGATCATCCAAAATGAACAGGAGCAAAGGTTGTTCAGCATGTTGGAATATCTGATTGCAAACAAGTTTAAAGTACATAGCAAAAGAGAAGCAACCACTGGAAGCATGACTGGGTTTGCTGTTATAACATGTGGTTCACTGTAGCTAATTGTAAGCTTCCGCTTCTTGCTCAGTTATAATTGTTGGGTGTTCTTTCCTGATGTTGGTTTTGTGCTATGAATGGACTATTCAGGAGGCTAGAGCTAATTCCTACTCTTTAATCAGTGATCTATGTTGTTCAGTTGTTCCTCTTGGCTCTTTAAAAAAAAGAATGTTATGGATATTTTATCCTTGTATTTGATTTCCCTGATGAACTAAATGAGGAGAAAAAGTACTGTACAAGGAATCCAATCTCATTGGACACACCCAATATCCCATTTAATTGGTAAATGCTAATAGAATGCTTTGTCTTTCAGTTGTGAAATTCTGCACTGTGCAGAGGCCAGCTCCAACTATATGCACTAGTTAAATCTGTGGGACTGTAGTAATTTACCAACCTTATAATTGCCATTCCTATGGGAAAGGATTGTACCCCCGAACAACAGCAGTTTAGCAAATGTACTTAATGTTCAGTCCAGGGGCTACAGGCTCTCTCTCTAGTGTTTTTTGCAGTGTTAGCACTTAGGTCTGTTTCTCCTAGCAGTTTCCTTTGAATTGTCTTCAGACAAATGTCCTTGAGAAGTATTTGAACTGGCACCATTCTGACAGCACTCCTTGATCTTCTAATAACCAGAAACTTTTTTTCCCCTGACTTTTGTTTGTTTTATTTTTTTATCTTTGATGTAATATAACCTCTCCCCATTATTAAAAGACCCCTCCAACTCTCAAGCTGTACATTTTATTCATAATACTAGGTACTTTACGCTTGATCAATCCTAACTCACCCGATGCCTGTGGTTCTCTCCCATGTGCAAAGGATGCCCCAAGACCTCAGCCAATGAGTTTGGCCTCCATCTGTTCTTCATAATGCATTCAATAAATGTTGGCTCTTCAGTCAATATCCATGTGAGGTGCCACAGGGTGCCCAGCACTGCAGCCAGTTCAAATGGGGGCAAACCCCACCCTGTGTTGGAAGACTGTGAAGAAATCCAAAAGGAGACCCTGGTTGACTTCCTTTCCCTTTAGTCTACACCACAAGTTGACACAGGATGGGGTGCTGAGGCCATCTGTAAAAACAGCAGAAGGTCAGTGAAATGGCTGTGAGACTGAGGGTTGCTTGCTGTTTGTTTAGCTTTCTGGCCTGTTAGATAATTTCCTGCATGACAGTGCTCTTCTCTTTCCATTATGTGTAGCACAGGGTGCAGCTTGTCCATGTAGTCATAAGAGCTGAGCACAGACAGTTGAATCAATTCAAGCCCAAGCCTGAATCAATACAGTCTTCAGATGTTAATGTAAACTGTGTAGATTGAACTGATAAGTAAGTGACAGGAATTCAGTTTTGATTCTGGAAATGCAGCCACATGCCTGCAGTGACCCAGGCCAGAAGCTGGGAGGTGCTAGAGCATGGCTCCCCACTCAACTGGAGCTGACAGCTTGGGCCAAGGTTAGGCCAGCATGGCTGCAAGGGGGCTGCAGGGGAGGTGCAAAGCATCCTGGGATGCTGAGGGACTGTGAGTTAACGTGAATACATATCACAGAGGTGGGAATGGAATTCTTATTGTCCCTCAACTTCCTTCCTTACATATATATGTAGTCTGAACCTAGCTTTAAGTCATTTCCCTTCCTTAAGGAGCCCATAACTAGGGTAAATTCTGCTATTCCACTTGGCTTAAACAGCTTTCTATTCTTGTTAAGTTGCAAAGTAAAATAGATTAAGTCTTTCCATTCCAGCAAAATTCTAATATTATAAAAGCCTTAGTCTGTCTGTCTGTAACTCTTTATTTGCACTCTGATTGGCTGACTGAAACAGCCAGAGTGCTCTAAGAGTGTTCAGACAGAAGCACCACCATGACGGCGGGGACACAGGGGACAGAATGGGAGGAGAGGGGGTGTGGGCTTGTTCCCCCCCTCCCCTGACTGGATGAGAAGTGGGGGCAGGGCCAGATGCTGGGGGACACAGAGCCACCGGGCCCCGGAAAAAGCCAGCAGGGAGGGGAAGGGAGGGGGAGGCATGGTGGCAGCACCTCGCCACCGCTGCCATGCCCCAGCAACAGCCCCAAAGGGGAGAGCGGTGGGAAACAGGCCCAGTCCCGAAGCAGCAGGGGCAAGGACCCATTTTCCCCCTCCTCCAAATGGACAAGAAGTGGGGGCAGGAGCAGGGCCAGATATGGGACTCTGTCCCTATCTGCCATGATGGTGGGGAGTGCACCATCACTGCTCCATCACCGCCAGGCCCCAACAAAAGCCGGAAGGGAGGGGGAGGAAGGGAGGGGAGCAGGAGGGCCAGGAGGGACACAGTGATAGCACCCCACCACCGCCGCCACCAGGCCTTGCCCAAAGCTGGGAGGGAGAGAAGTGGGGAGGGGAGACAGGTGGATGTGAGCTGGGTGGACCTGAAGCGTGGAGGTGGGGGGGGAGCAGTGCCAGACCAGAAGCGGTGGGGAGGGGAGGGAATGGGCTTGGACCAAAAGGGTGGGGAGGGGGAAATAGGCCTGGACTCATGGGGGGATGAGTGAGCAGGGCTAGACCCAAAGTGCAGGGGGGACGGGGGACGGACAGGGGCCTCCGTCCCTGCCCCCCTATCATTCTTGATGGGCAATTGACTACTAGAACTAAGATCCTTCTATTTCTTTAATTTTACTCCACTTTTTGTAAATACTTTTGTAATGGCCAGACACACTTTCCTCCCCAAACTAATTTCAGTTTTATTACCTTGTTTTTCTACTTCTTTTTTTTGGCATGGCCTTGCTCAGTTAGGTTCCAGCCTGTGTCATCAAGGAGAGGTGTGTTCTCAGGTAGCGAGAGTTTCCGTTTGTCCTGTTACAGCAAAATCTAGGTTTTTAAAATACACTCATTGTTGCAGTACTTGAATTACTGTACTTCAAGAAAATCAACTACACTTCATACAGATAACATCTGTGTCACACAGTATATAGCAAAGATTATAAAGAGTTATAAATAGCATTATAATGAGTCCTTATTTGGAATTAAGCATTTTATTCTGCCTGCACTAGTTTACTATGTAGCTGTCACAATAGCATCATCTTTGATCCAGAGCTGCAATAAAATGTGTATTTATTTTCTGTTTAGTTTAGCAATCCAAAGGTTAAGACTCGTGTGTATTTGTTGGCTAGAGTTTTCAAGAAACTTTGTGCAATGTTGCATATGCCTTTTTTAAGCTCATTGAGATGTGTCTAAAGGTCTCTCCAGCACTATACACTCCACATCAACAGTGAGAAAATAGCTGAGCCAGTCAGAGGCATATTCTCACTAGCTGAGTTTTGCCAATGATTTGTAGCAGCTAATATTTTGATCTTGCAGAGTGGAAAGCTTGGAGACCATTTTTTCCCCTTTTCTCCCAGGAGAAAGTATAAATATGAAACTGGCCCTTTTGAGATCAGAAGCTACCAGACCAAAATAAGGCATGAACTATTTCTAATCATGAGCTCCAGAATTTCAGCTCAGGGACTAACTTTGGTATACTTCCTTATATAAGCCTCTTCCCATGTGCCCCAAGGGCATGGGATGGTATGGGAACTCCTATTGTTTCCTTTCTTCCCTCAGAGTTTGTCAATAAGGTGGCTTTAAAGTCCTCTAATGGCTGTATACAAGCCCTCCTAGCACATATTGCCTTATCCTGCTAGTGAATCAGTGGATCCTTTGAGTTAAGGAAGTGATCTTGTCCAATTTGAGAGTAGCTGTCACTGGCCTCAAGCCCTTCTATCTTAGCTTTTTGCAACAGGTGTTGTTTCTCACTATATCTGAGCAGTGCCTCACCTTGAATACAGTTGGTCCTTTTAAGTGCCACTGCCATTAGACAAAGTAAACTTTGAGGTTCACATTGATGGCTTTGCATTTACACTACCACATTTAAAGGTGTTAAACTGGATGCCATCAAGTCACCACTTCAGTATATGTGAATATAAAATAATTTCTCATAAAAGTTACAACAACAGATCATCTGGAAACACTTTGCCTTGACTGTATTTCATTCCACATCCTAATAGATGGTTGATAAGTAGGGCCAGTAGTTTCAGGCAGGGAGGAGGTGTTTGAATCAGGCAGAATGACAGAAAAAACAATTTTAAGGTTTTATAATGGGTAAGAAGTCAAAGATGTTTTAAATTAAATGGATTAGCCCTGCTTCCTAGATTAAATAGAGAAAATAATTCCTTTTCTGTTGTGTTAGTTATTGAAGCAGGCATGACATTTGGTTGGCATTTGACTGTAATATGGACTAAGAAAATTAAGCACCTGATCTTGTATCTAGGGAAGTCAATGCGAATAGAGGACCAGAGGGCCTGGGGAGCAGGTGGGGCCAGGAAACCCATCTCACTGACCAAGGAGTGGGGCCAGGTCTGAAGAAGGGCTGAAGGCCAAGAAGGGCCACAGCCTAAGGCTGGTAGGAGTGGAAAGACCATGGGCATCAACTGGCCTAGAAGTAGGGCCCGGGTCTAAGGAAAAGGTTTGAAGACCATGAGGGCCACAGACCAAGGGGTCCAGAGTGCCCATAGCCCATAGGGGGATTGATATAAGGATGGACAGAGCCAGGAGCTCATAGCCCATAGGAGTGGTTGGGATATGATTAATATGTGTGACATCTGCACGGCATGAGCAGGGAGGATGGAACCCATGTAATTAGTTCTTAAGGCGATGAGCAGTGACTGGTGCTCATGAGGAGATCTGACTTGGGAAGCCCTGGGGCAGCTTCCTTTTTCTGAAAAGATCATTTCATCAAGGCATGGCAAGTGAGGAGAAGGGGAGTTTGCCCAAAGAGAGCCAGGGTGATAAGACATGAGGAGCTTCTGGGGGCATCGCATCCACCCCTGGAATCGGACCCCATTACACTTCAATAGGAGTGAAGAATTCTCTCTCCCCAGTCTCACCAGTGGGCCTGTGTTTAGGGCACTATTTGGTGGGGGGGGTGATGTCCATTTGAACTACATAAAAAAGGAACTATACCCAGGCCTACCACTTCCCCTGACCTCTAGTTCAGTTGTTCTCAACCAGGGTGTCATGGCACCTTGTGGTGTATGGAGATCCACTCAGGAGTGCTGCAGAGTGTTAATACTGTTAGGTATGCAAATATGATTCACAAGACAAATACAGAGATTTCAAATAGGAATCCATAGTGTTAAAAACATTCTGACCGGTTGTGATCTGAGTTCTTTGCAATAGAAGTTGCTTTATTATTTTTCTCTTGTCAAAAATCAAATGAAAACAAAGAGCTGACGTTTTCAAGGGGATGGTTTGAGTCTAAAGTAGAGTGCCTTGACTTTAATCAAGGGGTGCCTTTAATCTAAAAAGGTTGAGAACCACAGCTCTAAACTACTATAAAAATGTGGGTACCATAAACTCCCTTTTTAAAAGATTTCCTACTGGCTAGGCTGGTTGTAGTGCGTTTCTAAACACCTAATGCATTGTATATGGAATGTGTGGAGCTAACAGTGTTGTGAATTCCACACAGAGGTCTAGGGTTCTAAAAGTTAGACATGATGACATAGAGCAATGCTGTGTCCTTCATTGATCTAACCCTCAACTACATAGCTCTTGATAAAGAACTTTCATTTAGGAGCCCACAACAAAAGAGTGTAGCTAGAGGATTAACCCCCTCTCTAGTCAACTAGGCTAGGGACAAACATTACATATAAACCAGTTTAAATGATCAACAACTGGTTTAAACCTATAACAGAACATAAGTTCTGTGCACATACACCACTTATAAAGTGGCTGGAACTAATTTAAGATAAACCTGGTTGTAGTATCAGACTTAACTGATTTGGGTCAAACCTATTTATGCAATGTCTGTCCCAGACCCCTTCCTGGTTTAAGTTCAACCAGTCTCCCAGCATCCCACATGCTTTGCAGCCCTGGGCTGTGCTGTCTGCTCCAAAGAAGAGGGCTAGCCCCACCCCTCTGCTCCCTACCCAGAGCTCTGGCGGAGACTGCAGGCACAGCAGGGTCTGCCTTGCTTACCCCTGCCCTGGCCCCCCTCGCTACTCATTACTCAAGCAGGGATCCTTGCCTCCCTTTCATCTCCCACAGCACAAACCCCAGCCCCATGGATCCTAGTCGCTAATGCTGAGCAGTGTATACATCTCCAATTTCACTGGGATAGGATGAAGGCAGACAGGACAGTGTCCAGTTAGGACTTTTTGAGCTAATCAACAGGACAGCTAGTAATGTCTCTCCTTTCTTTGCTAAGAAAAATCTGTTTAAGAGCTTGAACTAATGAGAGAGGGTCTTGTTTTCTTGGTGGACTAATAAACGCTGTGTTATGAGCTCCCTGCTGGCTCCCTCATCTGTCAGATTTGCTCCAGACAGTATGAAGAAGCAGAGAGAGGGAGACTGAAAAGTTCAGTATCATCAACAGATAAATGCACTGCACATACACACACCCTTTGCCCCAGAGTGCTAGCTGGGGACTGGAGCCTGGCAACACTCCAGCCCCTTGAGCAGCAAGTGGAGAAAAGCCTAGGATTGCACAGGCAGGCTGAGGGTTTAAATCCCTCCCTAATCAGAGCATCCTGCTGGGGCCTGGCCACACTTCCTCATCAGCTCAGCACTCTGAAAGGAAAGGGAGGGCTGCTGTAGTACCCACTGTTTTTTAGCCTGAGCCACTGCAGGCACGTGCCTGCATTTCTTCAGTCCAGAGGAAATGTCTGTACACTTGCACACCAGTTCAACCTAGACAGGTTAGACTAACCGGCAAAGATTGAATCAATTCAAGCTCAGGCTTTTTGAATATCTGTCCCTAGCTCTAGAGAAGGGTCCTGGCTCACTGGTATAATCCCATTAGCATTTCTGTGTAGTACCTTTTATTTTCTGTGCCCAAGACCATCTCTGGCCATTGCACAGATCCATAGAAGAGAGTAATTAGAGAAATTCTTTCACCTGGTTACATTTGAAGATGAAAAAAGCAGCCCTTCCTGCCTTCTGGGCCGCAAATCACCACAGGATGGAAGTTAAGTTGTTGTTTCACTATCCCTCATGCCCCAACTGGAACTGCTTTGCACTCTGAGGGGAACAGAGTACACTATCCAAAGGCACAATCACTCCTAGAACTAGGACAGTGTATGAACCCCGTGTATGCCACTGGCTAGATGACACATGTTCATGTTTTCAACAGGTCCAATTTTAGAAGACTGTCTGGATGAATAGTTCCATTCTGCATATCATGCAGGTAGTTCTTATGAGGTAAAATGTTCATAATAGCTTATAAAACAATTATGGTCTGCTATTGTTACCAAGTGAGCTCTAGGATTGCACAAGATGGGGAAAAAACACTCATTCAACAGTGAGTTCAGTCATTTTGAACATAAAAAGCACCCTCAGGAAGAATGCAATTTATATTCATATGTATTTTTTACTTGTCATTCCTTCAGTTTGATGGATGTCAGAATACTACATTTTTAGTAGAGTTGCAATTGCTGAAGAACTTAAATATACCCTGTGATTATATGCTGCAGGGCCGACAGCTGAAATTCTGAATGGCCATCTGCAATGCTATTGGCAATAGTATTCTCCTTTTGTGGCAGAAATTCAGGTGCTTGTCTTCTACTGCAATTAGTGCTTGATGTTTGGTATAGTTTCTCTCTCTCTCTCTCTCAGCTCTACAGACATAATCAAAAGGCTGTATCAATTATTATTTCAACCAGCTGAGAAAGCAGGTTTCCTGATCAGTTATTTTATTTTATAGATGCAGATCATTCTTCTGTTTGGAAAGGTCTTGGCAAACTTTGCAAAACTGTGTTCTTTTAAAGCTGTCCATGGAGTATTGGCAGTATTTATGGTAATGT